AAAAAAAAAAAAGACATGAGAGCAATTCCATAAAATCAGGAGCTTAACTTACCCTTTTTCTTGTTTTTAACTGGACCTGTTAAAAAAAGAAAATGGAAAATTAAGTCACTGGACATTAACAGAGAGTGTTTATTCTCCAAGATAGTCACAGGAGAAACTCCCATGACATTGTAGAGTTGGAGGGAGCTCCACACCAAGGGTCAGGTTATTGGCAAGGTATCTCCCAACTATCAGACCTCCCCAGTCTGTGTTTTTTGACTACTGTAACAAGAAAGGTATAAGAAAGATTCTTCCTTAGAAAAATCTTTCAGGCTCAGTCTTTGCAGCGAGGGAATGGGTAGTTCTTCATGGGGATGAAATGCCCATAAACACAGAAGTCAACAACCATTCCTGAGATTGAAGACTCATGCATTCAGGTGAAGAACTGATATGAAATCTCATGCATTGAAGCTAAATGGAAAAAAGGGTCATTTTCATGGAAGGAGCAGAAGCAGCAGCAGTTTACTTTTTAGTCACTTACTGTGATTTAAATTTTAGTTATTAAAACAGTGTGACCATAATACATTCATGTGGGGACCACATGCACTCCCACTGTAATTTACTATAAGTTAACAGACACTTTTAAAGAAGTGTTAACAGTTTCACTGACAATGAGATCACAGGCATTTTCTTGGAAATTACTTCTAAGGAAAACAATTCTCATCAATTGAGGACACTCAGGAAACCCAAGGTTTTTCTTACATGGTTAGGTAACGACCACTCCCCAGACACAATTTAGGTATCTCCCAGACATGTTTTTCCCTCCTGGGGACCCAATTCTCTTCATTCTGTAGGTGGATTTGATTTTCTTCAGATACAGGTGTTTAAAATCTGTTCCAAACTCCCATGAAGACACTATTGGACAACATTAAACCACTGTCAGTGCCCTCAGGAGCTTACAAAAAGAACACCAAGCATTTGCATATTGTTTTATAGTCTATAAAACCAATTTTCATGTATCATCTCATTTTATCCTTGCAACAAGCCTAGAATGATCTTTATAAGAGCAGGCTCTAACAGAGGCAGGCTCAATCTGAAGTCAACCTGGAGGGCCACCAGTGTGGCCATGAAACCTTATATAGGTCCCTTGAAACCAATGTCTGTGTAGACTCCTCTTGCAAAATAATTTTATTTTCATAATTTTCCTGCTAAATTTCATGTGTAACAGTAGGAATTATTATGTGCAGGGTGTGTTTTACATTGGGTTTAGCAACCTGCACACTTAAGGTCATAACTCTCCATTCTTTTTCCTCCTCCCAGTCCTTTATATTCTTTCTCTGGGGCTTATCCTTTATGTTTCTAATGGCATTGACAGCTCTTGACAATGTGCAGGGAGGTTCTGGCAAGGACGCATGGCTACACAAATACTGCCGACTAAGAGGCAGCACTCAACATGAGAAGGGCCATGTCCTTGACCTAAAAAGCTATTTGAGGAACAATTTACACAGAAAAGCCCAGTCCCATCAGCCAGCTACCAGCCAGCTGGTCAGCTACCTCAGCCTGGCAGAATGGTGATATGGTAGCCATTGCAGCAACACTGCACTCATAGACAAGTTGTGCTAGCCCTGGACAAGTTTCTGACCATTTTAGCTGGCTAGAGGTAGCATTGTTACATCATACTTCAAAGCAGGTTTTGAGGATATCAGACCATCACCAAGCAACCAGCCCTCACCAACCATGACTATGGAAGGCAGCACAGTAAATAATGAAACACAACTCTATCCTGAAAGAATTTACAATTGGATATGAAAATACTAAAGAGGGGAGACCTAAGGGAATATACTGGCTAGTTGAAAAAAAAAGCTTCCTGGAGAAAGTCTGAACTAAATCAACAACAGAAAAGAGGGAAAGGGAAGTTTAAAAAAATGTTCTAACTTCTATTGTGTTTATATTGTACATATATAAATGCATACATATGTACATAAAAAGGAAGAGAAAAAAGAAAAAATATTTTTTAAACACAACTATTTTTATTCCATTCTTTTCTTCTTTTTTTCAGTGATTCTTATTTTTAACTGAAGTATAGTTGACACATAGTTTCAGGTGTATGACATAGTGATTGGACAACTCTATAAGTTATGTTCACCACAAGTGTAGCTACCATCTGTCACCATATATCTCTATTAAGATATTATTGACTATACTCCCTATGCTGTATCTTTTTATTTTTTAAATTTTTAATGTTTATTTTTGAGAGAGAGAAAGAGAGTGCGACAGGGGAGGATCCGAGAGAGAGGGAGACACAGAATCCGAAGCAGGCTCCAGGCTCCGAGCCTTCAGCACAAGGCCTGATTCCCTATGCTGTATCTTTTACCCCTGTGACTTATTCATTCCATAACTGGAAGCCTGTATCTTCCACTCCCCTTCAACCATTGCACATCACCCTACCTCTCTTGCCTCTGGCAACTCTCACCTTGTTTTCTGTATTTATAGCTCTGATTCTGCTCTTTATTTATTAATTAGTTTTACTTTTTAGATTCCACATGTAAGTGAAATCTATGGTATTTATCTTTCCTTGTCCAACTTATTTCATAGCATCATTATACCTTCTAGGACCATCAATGTCACAATTTGCAGGATCCCACTCTTCTGTGGCTGAGTAATATTATTTCTTATTGTTTTGATTCTAGTGATTCTGACGAGTGGTATCTTCTTGTGTTTTTGATTTATATTTCCTTAGTGATTAGTGATGTTGAGCATCTTTTCGTGTGTCTCTTGGCTATCTGTATGTTTTCTATAGATAAATGTCTATTCAGGTCATCTGCCCATTTTAAATTATATTTTTGGGGGGTTGAATTGTAAAAGTTCTTTTTTTAAGTTTTTATTTTAGTTTCAGTTAGTAAAATACAGTGTTATATTAGTTTCAGGTATACAATATACTGATTCAATAATTCCATACATCACCTGAAGCTCATCATGACAACTGCACTCCCTAATCCCCATCACTTATTTAACCCATCCCCTCACCCCCTACCCTTGGGTAACCATCAGTCTGTTGACTATAGTTAAGAGTTTGTTTCTTGGAAACAACAGGTTTTGGCCAGGATGTGTAGAAAGGGAAGCCCTCTTGCACTGTTGGTGGGAATGTAAACTGGTACAGCCACTCTGGAAAACAGTATGGAGGTTCCTCAAAGTTAAAAATAGAACTACCCTATGATTCAGATATTGCACTACTAGGTATTTACCCAAAGGATACACAACTATATATTTGAAGAGATATATGCACTCTGAGGTTTATAGCAGCATTATCAACAATAGCCAAACTATGGAAAGAGCTCGACTATCCATCAAGTAATAAATGGATAAAGAAGATGGGGTGTGTGTGTGTGTGTGTGTGTATGATGGAATATATATATATATATATATATATATATATATATATA